ACATGCCGACACAGGTGTCCATGCATCCACGGGCATGCATGCACACACAGGCAGGCCATGCACACACAGGCAGGCCATGCACACACAGGCAGGCCATGCACACACAGGCATGCATGCACACACAGGCATGCATGCACACACCTTATCTGCGACTGCTTGGAAAAGTGGTTCTCTGATTCTGAAGCTTCCTTCCAAGTGGGAATGTGTTGCAGTGAAAGCAACATAGTAAACATTTTCCAGTGGTGACAGGTAGTAAACAGGATTGAGCGAGTGATTTAGCACTGTGTGAATTTTCCAACGAACATAGGAAAAGCACTCAGTATTACTACTAATAAAAAATACCAATCCAAACTGCGGTGAAGTACCATCTCAGCTCACCTAGAATGACTACTACCTAAAGGACAAAAAAATAACAAATGCTGGTGACGCAGGGTAGGGGGACTCTTCCTCACATTTGCTGGAAATGTAAATTAGTACAACCATTATGCAAAACAGCATGGAGATTCCTCAAAACACTGAAAGCAGAACTGTCATCTAAGTCCCAATTCCAGTACTAGGCATATGTCCAGAGGAAAAGAAATTGGCGCATTGCAAAGATACCCGCTCCCCAATGTTTACTTCAACGCTATTCACAATACCCACGACCTAGAATCGATGTTAGTGTCCATCAACAGGTAAAAGAATTTTAAAAAGTGGTGTGTATACAGAGGTGTATGTGTTTATGCACACTGTTAATACTATTTAGCTATTAAAGAGAATGAAATTCTAGGGCTGGCAGGTGGTGTGGTGGTTAAGGTGCTGGACTCCCACATAGCCGACCATGGTCCGAGTCTTGGACCTGGAGGCTTGTGTTCTCTCAGTCTCTCAGTCTCCCTCTGGTCGAATGAAAAACTACTAATAATAGGAGCCAGCAGATCGTGTAGCAGTTGTCACTGGACTCCCACATGGCCGACCATGGTTCGAATCCTGGATCTTGTAGCTTGAAAATCATGCTGGGCATATTTGTGTGCATGCCCAAGATCTTGGAAGGAGAATGGAGAAGGGATTGCAGCGTGGTCTTCTCCCCTGGGGGGTGTTTCTCACTTTCCCTCTCTCTCTCTCTCTCTCTCTAGCAAGCACACATGCACTACAGCAAAAACCTCTAAAATAACAAATAATACTAATAATTAAAAAAAAGGGTACATGTTCTTCCAAAGATGTCCAACTAATGAAGGTGTTATTAAAAAAAATTGGGTTGTTGGGAAGACCATGATACATTTTTGTATAAAAAAAATAGAAAAATATGTCATCCCTTTCCTGATGACCTAGTAGTAGCTGGGGCCAGGAAGTGGTGTGGTGGTGAAGACGTTGGACTCCCACATGGACGACCATGGTGGAGTTCTGGATCCGGCTGTTTGCTTTCTCTCTGTTTCTCTCTGGTCACATTAAAAATAATAATGACCAATAAGGTTAAATACATAACTATATTTTCTTTTTTAAAAAAGAAAATATAGTAGTCTCCCTTTATCCATGGTTTTGCTTTCTGCAGTTTTTGTTAATGATCAACTGAGGTCTGAAAATAGGTGAGTGCAATACAATAAGATATTTTGAGAGACCATGTGTACAATATATTAATATGTATATCCTATATATATATTAATATATATTTCATTTATATATATATTTATAGTGAAATCATTTTTTTAGTACTTGACAAAATACTGCATAAAATGAAAACTTTCGCCATTATACAAAAATAGGTCTCTACAAGTGACAGTGTCTGTCCTTATCACCGGTGGCAGATGTACTGTGCAGACACAGGTAAGTTCAGTAGCCTTATGCGAAAGTGCAGGGCAGCTCGCACTACAATTCAGTGTGTAACTGCTCAATCTCACTATTCATTGTTGTGGGTCTTTTGCTGTGTCTATTGATAGGTTGAGCTTTATCACAGATCCTTATGTACAGGAAAAAAGCGTAGCCCATATAGGGTTTGGTACTGTCGTGGTTTAAGGCATCCACAGGGTGCTTTGGAACATTTTCTCCCGTGGGTAAGTGTATTGAAAGTGTAATTATTCATTACATTAACACCAACTCCTATAACAAATTACCTTCTTTGATTTCTCCCTTATTTTATTTCACTTATAGAAGCAATTCTTTTAGGTTATAGACTTGTTTATCCCAACGTCAGACTCCACAGAGAAAAACACCTGTTCTCTGTCTCGTGGGGTGGCATGGCGCCCAGAAGCAGTGCGGGCAATTCAACTGTACCTTAAGCTTGTTCCCCTAAGAACCATTTTTTCCCCTTATTTTATTTTGGGGGCCAGCAGGTGGCATGGTGGTTAAGGTGCTGGACACTCCCACATGGCTGACCATGGTTCGAGTTCTGGACCTGGTGGCTTGCTTTCTCACTTTCCTTCTCTCTCTCTGTGTCTCTCTCTGGTCAAATTTAAAATAAATGAATGAATAAATAAAATTAAATAAGAGAATTATTTTATTTCATTTGTTTTCATCATTATTACTTGTTTAATTTGACCAGAGAGAGACAGAGTGAGAAAAGGAAAGTAAGAAAGCAAGCCTCCGGGTCTGGGACTCGAACCACAGTCAATCATGTGGAAGCCCAGTGCTTTAACCACCACACCTCCTGCTGGTCCCCCCCTTTTAAAATGTCATCTACAAGATTTATGAGAACTTGGAAAACAAGAGTTTACTGGGAGAAAAAGGAAGTATATAGCTACAGGCTTGGCCATAATTGACATATTCAATAATAATGAGAAAGATGATTGCATCTGCGGCAGTACTTGGCTTCTTTCTTTTGAGATTTTTTGAATACCTATCAGATACTTCCTCTAATCAGGAGGAAGTAACACCATAAGAGTCCTAGTCTCTCTTAAAGAGATGCTAATACCATCATGGAGGCTCCACTCTCATGACCTAATTTAAATTTAAGTTTCACCTCAAGTCTTCACCTCCAGGTATGTGGTATGTCGCGTTGAGGGTTAGGGCTTCCACAGTGGAATTTCGTCCTTAATGTCCCAGACATTTAGTCCTTACCGGTGGTGAGGAGGGACGGTGTAAGGAATAACTGGCCCTGACACTGCATGTCTTCTTCGGTTTTCTGCATCTTTCTTACCTTTCTACATCATCTTTCATTTCTCTCCAGAAACAGCTCAAAGATTTCTGCAGCAAGGAGTTTTACTGGATTGGTCTGAGGAACAACTTTGGCTGGAGGTGGGAAGATGGGTCAGCTTTCAACTCCTCAAGGTAATGAACTTCCAAGGAATACAACAACAAAACGAGACAGCAAGGGAGAGAGAAAATGATCAATTATGTTGCTTGGGAAATGAATTAAGGATAGCAGATGGAGGGGAGAGGGAAGGTGAAGAGAGGAGCTAGGCAACAGTGGGGAAGGGGAAGAAAAGGATGACATTATAAAGAAGCTAACCGGCAACTTTCATTCCTCTGTTCTGTGAGATTAGAGGCCTGACTAGAGAGAAAGAATTTGCTCAGTTTTTAGCCCTTTATGCCTTTCAACTCCTTTTCTATTTTTAAAAAAATAATTCTTTTGTATTTAACTTTGTTTACTTATTTCTTTTAATTTGACTAGAGAGGGACAGAGAGAGAGAGAGAGAGAGAGAGAGAAAGCCAGTCACTAGGTCTGAGACTTGAACCCTGTGGCCATGTGGGAGTCCAGAGCCCTTAACTACCACACTACCTGCTGGCCCCAAACTCCTTTACTATTCCTATCACCTTAAGTGACTGACTTTTCTCATTTCTTACAGGATTATGTCTAATAGCTTGGTACAGAAGTGTGGTGCCATCAACAGAGATCGTCTCCAAGCGTCTAGTTGTGAAGCTGTTTTACGATGGATCTGCAAGAAGGTTAGACATTGATGGAGGCCTTCCTGAGCCTCAGATCTGTTATATATTTCTAAAAAGGCTGACGACGCTGTTCGAGTCCCAGATGCAGCAGCTTGAAAAACACGGGCACGTTGTGTGCATGCCCAAAGTCCTGAGAAGAGAATGGAGAAAGGATTGTGGTGTGGCCATTCCCACTGGGGTGCCTTCTCATTTTCTTTCTCTCTTAAGTTGTCTCTCTCCTGTGAGTACATGTGCCCTATAACAAATTAAAAAAGAAAGGAAGGAAGGAAGGAAGGAAAAAAAGCAGAAAGAAAGAGAGAAGGAAGGAAAAAAAGGAAGAAACGAGAGAAAACTGGCCCCATAGTGAGCAGACATGGAACTTACTAAGACTTGATATTTGATGTTATCCTAATCAGCCTCCTAGGGACTGATGCTTAACTGCTGCAGTCTCTTCCAGAGAATTCAGGCTTTACGTTAACAGTGCAGGGAGCAGATCTAGGCCTACTTGTGAAAGTTTGTTTTCAGTATTTCTCACTCTCACAACTAACAGTGCCCCCCTCATACTCACTTATCTCTGTTGAAAATACATGTTTTCTGGGGATCAGCAGGTGGTGTGGTGGTTAAGGTGCTGGACACTCCCATATGGCTGACCACGGTTCAAGTCCCAGACCTTTTGGTTTACTTTCTCACTTTTTTTTTTTTTCTTTCTCTCTCTCTAGTCAAATTAAAAAAAAAAGAATGAATAAATAAAATTTTTTTAAAAAGAAAATATATGTTTTCTATTGGGTCATCAGGAAAGTCATGACACATTTTTGCATAGAAAAACAGAAACATACGTCATGACTTTCCCAATGACCTAATATGTTATATTTTAAGGTAATCTGATGAAATCTGTGCAAATAGATGCTACTACTATTGTACTGGAGGGATTTCATGTGTACCTAAAGGGCTAACATGTTATTTCCCCCTGATCATGTATGCTCATCCCAACACTGAGTGGCCCTTTGCAGATAAAACTTTTCTTGTCCAGGAAAATGGTAACAGTAAGAATGAGTGTGGAAAGTGGATGAGGGCGGGGTGGTGTCTTCCGCTTCTCAGCTCTTCGCACTTACAATGACCCGGACTTGACTGAGTTTGGTTTTTCTGAGTACGCATGGATGTGGTCGAATAAGCAAATGTGTGGGTATATCCTTCAGTACTCTGACTGTGTGATTTGCATGTGAAGTTCATGATTGTGGTCAATCTGATAAGGCGTTTTCATAGAGAAATGTTTACAGAAGCAGTTTGTGTGACTGGGTCCCCACTAATGCCTCAATACTGACAAAACATTTATTATTTTATCCTTAGTAGAGTTTGGACAGAGATAATTAGAGAGAGTGCTGTTTAAAGATCTAGGAGGCAGTAATGAACACAATTCTGTAGAGCTAGCACTGGATGGTAATCTGTTTGTTTTTTATCTTTTATAGTTTTTTTATACATCATTTTATTTAACTTTATTTATTTATTTTAATTTGACTAGAGAGGGACAGAGTGAGAGAGAGAGGGAAAGTGAGAGAGCAAGCCCCAGGTTTGGGACTTGAACCATGGTCGGATATGTGGAGCCCAGAGCCCTTAACCACCATGGTACTTGCAGGCCCCAAGTTTTTATTTATTTTTTATTTATTTATTTTTTTCTTTGAAAGATTTTTTTGCTAGTAGGTGCATGCGCTCGCCAGAAAAACAAAGAGAGACAGAGAGACAGAAAGCAAGAAATCACCCCCACCCCCACAGGGGATGGCCACGCCGCATTCCCTTCTCCATTCTCCTTTTGGGATTTTGGGCAAGCATGCTCATACACCTGGCATGAAGTTTTAAGTTGTCAAGTCTGGGACTTGAACCACAATTGACTATGTGGGAGTCCGCGATGTAATCGTTAAGCTATCTGCTGATCCCTACAGTTTTTTTTTTTTTTTTTTTTTTTAAAAAACCAAATTGGGGCCCCACATTTGGTGGCTATGTCTCTGGACTCTCATGTAGTCAACTGTGATTCGGGTCCCAGACCTGGTGGCTTAAACTCATGCTGGGCGCATTTGCATGCACGCCCAAATTCCAAAAGGAGAATGGAGGAGAAGGGATTGCGGCATGCCCATCCCCTTGTGGATGTGTGTGATTTCTGTCTCTCTGTCTCTCTCTGTCTTTCTGGTGAGTGCACACTCCCTACAGCAAAAACCTCTCAAAAAAAAAAAAAAAAAGAAAAAAAGAAAAGAAAGAAAGAATACAAATACAAACTGGATCTTATCTAGCTCTGAAAACACCTAAAATCAAGCTTATGTTAATTCAATATTAAATAAATAGATACAATTAAAATAAAAAATATTTTACTTTAGGTACCAGCTGTATAGCCTAATGGATAAGGGAGCCAGATCCCACATGACCAACTAGGGTTCGAGTCCTGGTCATGACAACTTAAAAAATGCACTGGATGTGTTTACATGCATTCTGCAAATCCAGACAGGATGGAGAAGTGGAGAAGGAACTTCAGCATGCCCCTGCTCCATGAGGGTGCTTTCTCTCTCTGACAAATGAATGTGCCCTGTAACAGCTAAAAAACGTATTTTAGTTGTTTTTGTTAGCCCATAAATTAGTTAGTAGGAGTAAAGGCAAGAAAAGTAGTGTCTATTATCCCTAGCCCACTCACACGAGCATTTGACACTATAGAGAGGCAAAGGTCTAGCTCGATCAGGACGCCACGCTCACAGAATGAAGCAGTGGAAACAGGCTCCCATCCCCTTGTGGTCTCTGGTTCTGGGCGGGGCTTGGGGGGGGTCCCTCAGTTAAGGATGTGTTACTACCATAGTAACTCTTATTTTGTTAAATATGTGGTGATAGGGGCCAGCAGGTGGCATAGTTGTTAAGATGCTGAACTCCCACATGGCCGACCACTGTTTGAGTCCTGGTCCCGGTGGCTTGAAACTCACACCAGGCGCATGTGCGTACATGCCCAAAATCCTGAAGGAGAATGGGGGAGAAAGGATTGTGGTGTGGCCATCCCCTCTGGCAGGTGATTTCTCACTTTCTCTCCCTGTGTCTTTAGCAAGTGCATGTACCCTATAGCAAAAATCTGTCTAAAAATTAAAAAAAAAATAAATAAGATAAATAAAGATGCGATAATAGTGATTCTGCTTGGGCCATGGTTTGGCCGCTCCAGGGTGTACCATTGTGTTTACTTATGCAAAGGTAAATGAAGGGATGGAGTGGTCCTTTCATCCCTACCTGAGCAAGCAGGATGTGTACAACTCTCTTCTGAGCATAAGGTTCAGTCCTCTTGTAAAGATGTCTCTATGACTGTCTCAACTGGGTCTAGTTTTTTACCACTTTGCTTCCTCTAAGAATGTTACAATAGGGGTCCGGCAAGTGGTGTGGTGGTTAAAAGGACAGGACTCCCACATGGCCAACTATGGTTCAAGTCCTGGACCTGGTAGCTTGCTTTCTCACTTTCCCTCTCTCCCTCTCTGTGTCTCTGGTCAAATTAGAAAAAAAAAATAAAGTTAAGGGACCAGCAGTTAGCATAATGGCTATGTCGCTGAACTCCCATGTAATCAACCGTGGTTCAAGTCCCAGATCTGGTGGGTTAAATTCACGCCGGGCACGTGTGCGTGCGTGCCCAAGATCCCAAGAAGAGAGTGGAGGAGAAGGGATTATGGTGTGGCCATCCCCTCTGGGGTCGATTTCTCGCTTTTTATCTCTGTGTCTCTCTCTCTTTCTGATGAGCGCACGTGCCCTATAGCAAAAACCTCTCCAAAAAAAAGCTAAAATAATTCTTAAAAAAAGGAATGTTACAATAAAGGGGTCAGCAGGTGGCATGGTGGTTATGGCTGACTGTGGTTTGAGTCTCAGACCTGGTGGCTTGAAAATCATACCACTCGTGTGTGTGTGTGTCCAAAATTCCAAGAGACGGGGCCAGCAGGTGGCACAGTGATTGAAGTGCTGGACTCCCACATGGGTGACCACAGTTGGAGTCCAAACATGGAGTCTTCTTTTCTCTTTCTCTCTGTGTCTCTCTCTGATGAGCACATGTACCTTATAGCAAATTAAAAAAATAATAATAAATAAAATTAAATGAATAAAAAACGTAAAAAAAACCAAAAACAAATGCACCAAAAACAGAAACAGCAAAATCCTGAGAGAGAATGGAGAATAAGGAATTACAAGGTAACCATCCCCTGGGGGGGTGATTTCTCATTTTCATTCTCTCTGTCTCTGTCTCTCTCACTCCAGTGAGTGCATGTGCCCTAAGGCAAAAAAATCTACTTTTTTAAAAAAGAAATGTTACAATAGAAATAACCACTTATTTTCAGTCTTTTATTGATCTTTAGTTATGTACTGGGGCTAGGGTGAGTTATGGATTCAGTTCTTTCATCTTGCCCAGTAAAATGAAGTTTAGCAAACCTAGAAACTAGGATTTTTCTTCTGGCGCTCAGACTCCAAGACGATTCCTCTGATGAGGATAACACCATACAGGGCTGTGGACACGCAGCCTCGGAAGGAGACTTCGATGAAAGGCAGCCAGGGAAGCCCGGTGGGGCGGCGCCTGTGGTTCCAGCCGCCCAGGAGGGTGAGGCCGGAAGATCGCGACGTAGGGAGACCCTGAAACAAAAATAGCAGAAACAGCGCGAAAGCACCACACACACACACACACACACACACACACACACACACACACACACACGAAAATAACAAGTCTGCCTAGTCCTTGTGATGCAGCAAACACCTAGGTTTTGGCCCATTTCCTTTCTAGCTTGCTTTTTGGGTTTCGTTATTTTGTTATGCTTTAGTGGACCTTGGTCCAGTGAGTAGCGTTGGTGAGTCACCATCTTCATCCCAATCTCTGTTCCCCTTCCCCTTCATCCCACATCTGCTCTTCCACCCACCTTTTCTCCCAGGAACATGCTTTGAGGATTGGTATGCTCCCTCAGGCATGTCGGTTTCCTTATAAAACATGTAGTTTCCTTCTTTATTTGCCTCACATTTAATTCGATGATTGACAACATTTGATCTTACTGGGCCAGCAGGTGGTGTGGTTAAGATGCTGGATCCCACATTACCAACTCCATGGTTTGAGTCGTGGACCCGACAGCTTGAAAACCACACCAGGGTGGAGAAAATAGGGGTGGGT